CCCACTGTACGGTTGTCAACAGTTCAACTTTAAGGGTCGAAGGAGAGCGGCCCTTATCAAGGAGAGACTGGAGGAACTCCAAAATAGTGGGCACCGAGCAGGAAAGCGGGTTCTCATTGTGGGCAGAGCACCACTGAGAAAAGAGGCGCCATCTGTTAGCATACTGCAGCCGAGTGGAGGAAGCCCTAGCACTCAATACGGTGTGTCTCACGGTGTCTGAACACCCAGTCAGCCTCCCAGGGGCCATGCCCACAGCTGGAGACGTTGAGGGTTGGGGTGCCATATCTATCCCCCCAACTGAGACAGCAGATCCCTCCTTGCTGGAAGACGCCATGGAGTACCGTGACACAGACTCCAAAGCAGCGGGAACCACGGCCGCGCTGGCCAGAACGGAGCTACCAGCAACACTCTGTGGCCCTGCTCGAGAACCCTCCGTAGAGTCGGCCAAACCAGTGACAGGGGTGGAAAGGCATACAGGAGAACCTGCGGCCATGGATGAGCCAGTGCATCCTGGCCCAGTGCGCCCGCCTTCCCGGTTAGGGAATACCATAGGGGGCAATGGGTCGACTCCTCTGTGGCGAACAGATCTACCTCTGCCTGCCCAAAGAGGTTCCAGATTATGCGCACTACGTCGGGGTGAAGAGACCACTCTCCCGGAGCAGGTGCCTGGCGGGATAGAGAGTCCGCAACCTGGTTCTGCCGTCCTGGCAGATACGCTGCGCGCAGGGTACACAGACGGGGATACGCCCATTCCAGGAGATCCCTCGACACCTTCAAGAGACGTGCTGACCTGGTGCCACCTTGGTGGTTTATATGATAAACAACAGAGGTGTTGTCTGTCCGAATCAGCACGTTCCTTCCCTCTAGGTGGGGCAGAAGGCACCTGAGGGCCATGTGCACAGCCCGCAGCTCCAGCACATTTATGTGTTCGGTGCGCTCCCTTGGGTCCCAGAGACCCCGAACAGCTCTGTGTTGCCACACGGCACCCCAGCCCATGAGGCTGGCATCCGTGGTGACCACCTCCCTTCGACACACTACTAGCCCCATTGGAACACCACTGGACAAAAGGGTCCCGTCTCGCCAAGGAGCTAGGGCATGGAGGCAGCTCCTGGTCACCATTAGCCTGCGATGCCTGTGCAGCCTGGCGTCTAGGCGAAAGCTGTTGAGCCATCGCTGCAAAGGACGCAGAAGGAGCAGCCCTAAGGGCACGACACGAGTGACTGATGTCAGTTTGCCCAGCATTCGCAGGAAGGTGATGTAGGGAAACTCCCTGCCCAGTCTGAATCGACGGACAAGCTGGAGTATGTCGTCCACCCTGTGAACAGATGGACGGGCCATCATGGTAGCAGAGTCCAGATGCATCCCAAGAAAGGTGGTTGTCTGAGATGGAACCAGACAACTCTTTGCCAAGTTGACTTTGAGGCCTAACATTGACACATGAAGTAGAAGCTGGGACGTATCCCGAGAGGCAGCTACCTGAGAGGGAGCACAAAGAAGCCAATCGTCCAGGTATGGCAGAATCCTGACTCCGGAGGCCTGTAGAGGAGAGAGGGCTGCTTTCACGCATCGAGTAAACACCCTCGGGGAAAGGGAGAGCCCGAATGGGAGCACCCGGAATTGCCAATGGCGCCCCCGATAGGCGAACCTGAGAAAACGGCGATGTTCTGCCGCAATAGGCACGTGAAAGTAGGCGTCTGTCAGATCTACTGATGTAAACCAATCTCCCGCCACAATGGTCTGAAGGACCTCTGTTATGGTGAGCATGTGGAAGGGAAGGACCTTCAGGTACCGATTCAGTCCCCTTAGATCTAAAATGGGGCGAAAACCGCCGGTCTTCTTGGCCACAAGGAAGTATGTGGAGTAGTAGCCTCTGGGTTGCTGCAGAGGATCTACAGACTCGATTGCCCCCTTGCCCAGGAGGGCGGAAAGCTCCTGGTCTAGTGCCTGAGATTTCACCGGGTGTGTGATGACAGTCATCTTGACCCGGTGTGAGAGTGGGGGCCGCCGTCGGAACTGGAGCCTGTAGCCATTGGTTAAGGTGGCAACCACCCATGGATCTACGGCATGAGCAGCCCAGAAATTCAGCTGCTGATGGGAAAAATGTCCGACGGCTGGCCCGGTGGCATCATCTTCTATCCCCACGGCCCCTGGGGGCTCTGGGGGGAGGGCGTCCAGGATTTGAGGCCCGGGTCTGTCTAACAGGGCGGCAGACTGGCTCACGAAAGTCCCTTCTCGGTCTCTGCCGCACATCATGGGGATAGGAACCCACAGGTCTGCCACCAGTCTGAGGTCGTGGCTGAACGCTGGGGGTAGTGGCAGGGCGGCCCGAACGCTGGGGAAAGGCAGATATGCTCCTGCGAAGGCCGGAAAGCTGCTGGCTAGTCTGACGTGCCTGAGCAGTCCGTTCCAGCGCCTCCAAGGCAGCTGATCCAAACAGCTCCCCTGGTACAACCGGGACACCCCTGAGGTTCCTACGGCATGCTTCAGTCAGAGGAGACTGTGCCAACCAGACCTGTCTACGAGCTTGGACAAGGAAAGACATGACCCGTCCAAGCTCTCTGGTCATCAGCGCGAAGGCCTGCAGCGCTGCGTCACTATAACCAATCGCCGCACTTGCACCACCAGTGTCCTGAACAGATGCAGACAGGGCAAACATGAGGTGCGCCAGGGAATTGCCAAGGCGGCCAGCACGCGCTCCTGCATTGTACGCCTTACAGAGGAGGTCATCTGTAACCCGACATTGAGTCCGCGGGCACCGGACATCAGGACGCAGGGCTTCATCTAGTGACACAATCAGTGAAGCAACTGCTGGTTCAATTGCTGGCATACGGTCCAGGCCGGCCTTCACTGACTCATGCATGGCAGCTAATACACGACCATCCGAGGAGAGACGCGACAGCGCTCTCGGTTCCCGCCAACAGGCGTGTAACTCCTTCAGGTACTCCTCTGATGGAGGTACAGAAAAAGGAGTAGGAGCCCTTCCACGTCTGAAAAAAGCACTGCCAGAGCTGGATGCCTCTCCTTGTGGGAGTTCCAGCTGCAGCTGCTTCAGGGCCATAGACATGACCTCCCGCATGGAACCGTCACCCGGCCTCTCCAACCGCACTCTGAGATGAAAATGAACCAGCCTCAGAGGCTTGAGAGGACCCTGCCTCCTCCTCATCTCTAAAATGAGAAGCGGAGGCAGCCAGAGAGATAACGTCATCCTCTACAACCAGCTCGGGCATTGGTGGGGAAGAGAGCCCAACCACTGGGAGCGAGGGATCAGATTGCCGTGTCTGCAACAAGGACTTCATCTCTGCCAGCTCTGCTGACAACTGCTCCACCCTTGTGGACAGGCCCTGGTCAGGTTTGGCCCGCTTCCTCCGGGGGAGGGGCACAGATGCTGTGGTCCCACCACGGCGCTTAGAACGCTTGGGGGGAACCACCTGCCCAGAGGGCGGAAGGTCCGAGCCCTCCTGGGGGCACAACTGGGCCAACCGGGCCACCCTCACTGCATGGGGCATAAAGCTGCAGTTCATACAGGGGTTCTCAGACAGCGCCTCCAAAAGGTGCTCATGTCCAAGGCAGGTAGGGCACAGGTCGTGGCCATCCTCTGCCTGCAGGGCAGCCCCACAATCTATGCAGCTGTGAGAGCCATCCATGTCGAAGGCCGACAAGGCTTAAAGAACAGAAAGTTATCGAAAATCGGGAGAGGGGGCGCAAACGCAGCCGTCACCAATTACAGCAGAGAAACGAAAGAGGCTGCGAGCACAAGGCAGCCGATACTGGGAGAGGGGGCGAGAACCGCTACCGTCACCAGGTATAAAACCAATAAACCAAAAAAGCTAACAACGTTAGCTGTATGGAAACTTAAGTTGGAAGTAGGAGCGAACAACGCTGCCGTCACCAATTATAGCGGATAAAACAAGAGAGGCTGCGGACACAAGGCGGCCGATACCGGGAGAGGGGGCGAGAACCGCTACCGTCACCAGGTATAAAAGCAATAAACAAAAAAAGCTAACAACGTTAGCTGTATGGCAACTTAAGTAGGGAGTAGGAGCGATAAACGCTGCCGTCACCAATTAAGAGAGCAGACCAACGAAAAGGCTGCAAAAAAAGGTTGATATTGGGAGAGGGGGCGAAAACGCTGCCGTCACCATTTATAATTAAGCAGACCGATGAAGAAGGCTGCAAACAAACCAAAAAAGGCTAACAACGTTAGCCGTCTCCAACTTCGGCAACGAAGTAGACCACACTTGGTTGGGAGAGGGGGCGAAAACCGCGGCCGTCAGTAATTATAGCAGCGCAGACCGGTGAAAAAAAGGATGCAAAAGTAGGGAATATACTGGGAGAGGGGGCGAAAACCGCTGCCGTCACCAGGTATAACACCAACAAACTAAAGAAGCTAACTACGTTAGCCGTATATAACTTCGGCAGTGAAGTTATTCACACTGGGAGTAGGGGCGAAAACGCTGCCGTCACCAGTTCGGAACAAAACAGCACGAAGCTGTAGGTAAAAAGCTAGTCGTGAGCCGGGAGAGGGGGCGCGGACGCTACCATCACCAGCAAACAACTCACTTACCTTCCGTAATCTTCAGAATCGACCCGTTGCAGCCCTGGGAGGGCGGAGAATAACCGCAACTCCGGTCAAGAGACAGGGGCTTCAGACAACGGGGAAGTTAGCGAACCGCTTGCGAGAAGAAAAAAGGAGCAGAGCAAAGGATGACACCAGGCTATATAGCTTCTGAGTGGTCATCCGGTGTCACAGGTGTGACTCTGTTGGTATAATTACTCGAACTGCGCATGCCCGAAGGGAACATTCAGTGCTTTCAGCACCGCCCTCTGGCGGTCAGTAGGGATGAAATAGAACTCCTCCTAGACATTTTCTGCAGTGCTGCCAAAATGAAAAACACTTATTTTAATAATTATTACTGATCAAAAACACCAAAATGCCTTGTATGTAAAAGCTTTTGTATCTTGGAACATCTGTTAATTCCCTCCATCTTTTTTTCCTCCAGGTGACGGAAATGGGAAAGGATTCCCTGCCGTCCTGGCTCCACTGGGATGTCGACAGTAGAATCTTGCGGGGGCTCCCTCTGGATGAGGATAAAGGAGTTCACTACATCTCTCTTACTATTTCCAACCACACAAAGCCCTCCTCTTCCTCCACCTCCTCCTCATCAGAGGTGTTTTCCATCGAGGTGCACCCTGAAGACCACTTTGATTCAGACTCATCTCAGCTGCTGTCCAACCAGGCAGCCGTGGAAGATCACATCCAGCCGTTCACCTGTGGCAACGAGGAGCCAGTCACCATCCTAACGGTGATTCTGGATGCAGATTTAACAAAGATGAACTCCGAGCAGAGGGTGGAGCTCCTTGAAAACATGAGGAGCTTCTCAGGAGTGGAGCTCCAGCACATGAAGATGCTCCCTGTGGTTAATAACAGACTGTTTGACATGTCTGCATTTATGGCAGGACCGGGCAACGCAAAAAAGGTCAGTGGATGAAGATTTACTTTTACATCATTGTATGTCCCAATACTATTGTAAACCTACCAATTGACATATGTCTCACAAGCTGTAGAATGTAATTTCTTCTAATTTTTACAAAATTCTGACTATATTCTTCTACATTCTGGGCACCAGCCTGTGCATCAAAATCTGATTGAAGACACATTCTTGTCTCTTTAGTTTTAGAAACTGGTACCAGTTTGTTGCTGGGATTATAATCAAAGCCAAAACTTGACATTTTCTGATCTTTAGCCACTGTAACATTCCCATTTTTTTTTTTTTACTTTTGTGGATTGTCGGGCTGACGTGTTTAACTAGTAGATCAATTGAGAGTAAAATTAGATGCCCCAAGTCAGTCATTCAGATGTTTCAGCTATAAAAGGTTCCTGCGCTCTACAACTACATCTTGTTCAACATTTGATTTCCTCTACTTAACTTTGAATGAACATTAAAACATGACTTCATATCTTCATTAATGGTGTTTCTTTTCACAGGTTGTTGAGAACGGGGCGCTTCTTTCATGGAAACTTGGCTGCTCATTGGACCGGACCACTGTTCCAAATATAAACAGTGTCCAGGATCCAGCTAAAGAAGGGACAATGTCTGCCAGGTTGGGATACCCTGTGGTTGGATGGCATATTGCTAACAAGAAGCCACATGTCCCAAAGCGCGTGAGAAGGCAGCTGAACATCACTCCCACGCCTATTCTTGCTGTGCTTCCTCCGACAACAGCAGTGGAACCTCCAGTGAGGATTGTCCCAACCCTCTCTTCTCCTTCTATTGCTTCACCTACAGAAAGTTCTGCTCCCCCTGTACGAGGCCCTGTACCCCTTCCTGGAAAGCCTACCAATAAAATTCGTGACCCTATTGCTCACACCCCAACCTTGGGGCCACCTCAACCAACAAGGGTAGTTGAGACCACCAGCACGGTTTCCATTCAGCCAACCATGACCAGGCCAAACTATGTAGAAGCCACTCCCACATTACCCACTCCACCAAAAAAGACCACCAGGAAACCACCTAGAAGGCCCAAAACCACTCCAATGACCCCCAAGTCCACTACCCCCGCCGCAAGTACACCATCACCTGATATCATACATGATCCATTCAATGAAAAGCCAGTACTGAGGAACGCCATAGATCAGGTTAATGCACTAGTGGGCACCTATTTCGAGGTTAAAATTCCCTCTGATACATTCTTTGATAAAGAGGATGGTACAACAGACAAGCTGCGTCTGACCCTGAGAGAGAACCACAAGGATGTGGTTGGAGACGAATCCTGGATCCAGTTCAATACCACCAGCCAGCTGCTGTATGGCCTTCCTGATGTTCAGCACATTGGGAAACATGAGTACTATATGCAGGCAGAAGACAAGGGTGGCCTCAAAGCCATTGACGCCTTTGAAGTCAGAGTAAAACGCTGGCCTCTCAACGACAAAACACCAGTCATATTTACTGCCCGCTTCGAGGGAGAGCCACGTATGATTACTAACAACATTCACAAGAAGATTCTTCTGGTTAAGAAGCTGGCATATGTACTGGGAGACCGCAACAGCAGCACGGTGAGTTTAAGGAATATCAGCAAGGGGTCAATTGTGGTTGAATGGACAAACACCAGCCTCCCCCAGCACCCATGCCCAAAGGAAATACTCAGAGACATGAGCAGGACCCTTGGAGATGCAAGTGGGAAACCCTCACAGAAGTTTAAGAACTACATGGGGCCTGAATTCAGTCCAATTAAGGTTGAGGTGAGGGGCAAAGCAAGCTGCCGAACATACTCCTTCATCCCACCAGCAGAGATTGATATCCCAGAACCTTCTGCAGTTACTCCAGGTCTTGGATCAAGCCGGGACAGCACTGATGATGTCTATCTTCACACAGTAATTCCTGCTGTGGTAGTTGCAGCCATCCTACTCATCGCAGGAATCATTGCGATGATCTGCTACAGGAAGAAGCGGCGGGGCAAGCTCACCATTGAGGATCAAGCCACCTTCATCAAGAAGGGAGTGCCTATCATTTTTGCAGATGAGCTTGATGACTCCAAGCCTCCCCCATCCTCCAGTATGCCCCTGATTCTCCAGGAAGAAAAGCCCCCTCTTCCTCCCCCTGAATATCCCAACATGGCTAGTCCAGAAACGACTCCCCTCAATCAAGAGTTGCTAGGGGAGTACACAGCTCTGCGAGATGAGGATCCAAATGCCCCTCCCTACCAACCACCTCCTCCCTTCACCACTCCCATGGAGGGCAAGGGCTCTCGTCCAAAGAACATGACTCCCTACAGATCTCCACCCCCCTACGTGCCCCCCTAAGACTTATTTGCCCCTCACCTGAAAGGGTGGAGGGATGCTCCAGGAACTGTGCTGGTTTCTGCTGTTTCTGTCTGGACTTTTACAGGAAGATATGTCAAGAGGTGCTAAAGTTCCAAAAACAGGAGATTATGGTTTGGGTGGGGGTATAGGATGTTGGAACTACTTTGAGGGACTACTGGTTCTATGGTAGCCCACATTCTGCAATAGCCTGACAAGTCTCATAACAGTGGGCTTTCGGTTCAACCAAGCTTCTGAGAAGAAACAACAGGGAGCTGCTCTCCCTTCTCAGCATTTTTTCTTAGATTTGAATACTGGATTCTACTTTATTTTCTTCTTTTCCCAATAACACTTTCTTTTTCACTGGACTGAAGTGTTGCCTAACAGCCTTTATTGTGTCCTGCTTTTAAACAACACAAGAAGAGAACAACAAACTGTCGCCAGACCTCTGCTTGGAAACACTCGTCTTCTAAAAACAGCGTCAGATTCTCTTCCAAATCAGAGAATCTCAGATCACCCCTGCAGACGATGCAAGAGACGGGGAGGCCGAAGTGTACACGTGTGAGCGACTATTTGTGTGCGTTTATTCGGATTCATAACGGTTTGCCTTTTAACACTATTTATCTGTTTTTATCCTTATTCACAATGTCTAGTTAGGCTGAGAATAACAAGGTAGCCTAAAAAGATATAGAGAGGAGTAGTCATGTTCTGTTTGTTTTTAAAATCATAAAATTTCTGGAAGACATCTTTTTTCAGGAGGGTAGAATGAATTGCAGAGGACTGATTTATCTTCTGTAATGCTAGACATTTTTTTCTCTTTTCAGTTCTTCTACAATTAAAATCAGCCACAACTTGTCCTGTTGGATAATAAAGACGTAAGAAAAAAATGAGTGGGGTGGGCCTCATGGTCTCAGCTGCTGACCACAAACAATTCAACCAAAAAATGCATCCCAGCTGACAAAGTTACCCAATATTATAACCACAGTGGCAAGGAAATACTATGGAATTTTCTCTTAGTTAACATTGATAACATTGGAGACCAGTTTTGGTGAGAATAAAAACACAAACGTTAAAAAAGTATATCCTCTTAGTACATACTGTGCCTTTAGGTTTTATAAACTATTAAAAAAAGGTCAGAATCACCCATGTTTAGGACTTTTGGAGTGGTCTAAAGAGGAGATGGATTTCCAGTCAGAAATTTTCCATTGAAATTTGGTACCTGTTAACTTGTACCTTATAGTACATGTTTCTGAGCATGGATTAGGTTATTTCCTAGTGATTCTACAATTTCCATAATCTTTATAATTTGATCTGGAAATGTTTCCATCTTTGGTCTCTAAATAAATAACTCCCAATTTCTAACATCTTCAAAACAGAGCATGTATAAATCCATTGCTATCTGGTTCCACCAACCCTGCTAATTACCAATACACTCCCTAAAGTTTTTCTTTTAGAACAAAGAAGGAATAGCCCAATTAGATTTTGGTCCACATGTTGTGGTTAGAAATCACTGTCGGTGATTCGCACAGAGACAGAAGGTACATCATAGTTTTAGTGGGCAGTGTTGCCAGCCCCTGATACGTTCACATTGTGCAGTTCTTAAAAAGGTTGGGTTTAGCTGTTTTTACATGATGAAAGTATATCTGTAGCCTATGTCTCACAGGCTGCACAATGAAACCAATCAGCCTCATGTATACCCACAATGTGACCCTGAGAAAACTCCGTCGGGTGCTGGTTATGATGCTTTGCATTTTACAGCCTGTACCTGACTGTCAGACTAACCATCTGACAATCATTCGGCTCCACTCTTGATGCCACCACTGTTGCCCTCTTATTTGCATTATAAATGCGAGATTTCCTGTGATTGGGATCCAAACACTACTCTGCATGTGTACCATCTAACTGGACAATCCCTTCTGAGTTCTTAATGTTTTTTGTCAGCATTATAGTATTGGTTAAGATTATATTCCATAGATGTCCAGCCCAGCCTTTTTTTTCTCCAGTACAAACAACCCAGGATGTTCTCAAAGCCAGGGATAGATATTTTTCTATGTGCCACTGGGACTCTCCCAGAATTGTACCTTTTTTTTTTTTTTTTTTTTTTTTTCCTGAACACAACAGAGGTGATTTCGGCTGAGATTTAGAAAAGGAAAGATTGATTCTAACCAGTAGCTCCCAGAATAATTTTCTACTTTTTAGTACAGCCTCAAATTGTTTATTAAAATGATCTCAATTGATAGTCTCCTATGATTTGTTAAAGTTTTAGTTTAGTTCATTCATGATTCAGTTATTTACACTTTGTTTTTTGTTTTGTTTTTTGGCATGGGTCACATTTTGGTGTGTTTGTGTCTCTAATGTATCTCCTGAACACAAAGACGGAAGGACCCGTGCGTTCTGTTTTAGTTCTCCACCCTTCTGTCCGAGTTTGGATTGAAAATGACCCTTTGCAATAACGGTGTACGGTGCGGTTCGTGAAAAGACTGCACCATGCAGCCTCACACGAGTGACTCGGTCATGACGGTTTTTGCAGGAAGCCAAGGCTTTTTTTGCTTATCGAGTGTGCATTGTAATAATAAAACCAACTGGTACCTTAATCAAACTAATGCCCACCTTGTCTTTATTTCATTCACCTAGTCTTTGTAGGATCTGCTGGGAGTTCTCTGGCCATGATGTCTTGTCCTTTCGTATTGCTAAACCTAACCTGACTGTCTGTGGGGAAGCTTTTCAATCCTTTGGGCTTCCCTTCTGCTCCAACTTATCCTTGAATTGATTAACTCACCTGTCTGAAGCCCGCACGAGATTTTAGCTCCTGTAAAAGCTTTATGCTGTTGGGAACGATGATACTGCTGTCCATTTTTTTTTCTTCAAGATTGTTTGACTGGTTAAGCGATTAGCTCCGGAAACTCCGTCTGATGAATTTGCTGTATTTACAAACTGAATACAAATGATTTGCGCTGATATTGATCAGATTGATTATTTGTAAACAGTTTACCTTCTCCTTTGCCCCATGCTGATAAGGCATGACAGAGTTTAATTTCGAGGAGGGTGAAGCAATGATGGATGAATTCCTGATGCGTCTTCGGTTACTGAGTTGAAGAAACAGACCTCAGGGATGATCAAGATTAATGAAGGATTGATCTTAGTTTGATTGGGGCAAAATGTGAGGTGAGTCTCTGCTGTCCAAATAAATCAGCAATATGTTTAGCTGGCGTAATGTGGGTCAATCAGCAAATCCCTGGCTGCAAACAAGGTAAAACTGAAAGAATTGGCTCCTGTTTAGTCAGAAAACATAATTTTTTTTTTAGATTATTGGGTTCTAATCCAGCAAAATTTCACAAGTTTTTTTGTTTTTTTCTACGAGGTAAATGACATTAAAAAAAACAAAACAACTTTCATCCCATATTACACCGCAGCTCAAATCTGGAGATGACTAGTGGTTTAAGATGACTTTGCAAAGGCTGAGCTTGAAGAAACGGCTTTCTATATGACTCAGTGACAGATTTAGGTCTGTTAACCTCCCCAACCCACACACACACGGATATAGGCTTTTAAATGGATGTTCTGTTCTGTCAAAGCCAGAGGTTTTCACATTTGCCACATCAATCTAAGGTTTGGATGATGACCTTTTATTCGTAAAAGCTAGACCTTTTAGCACTTGTCAAAAGACTTGTGGTTGATTCATTAATGCTTGCAAGTTGTGGCTTTTTCAAGGATGTATATATCTGTGTGTGTGTGTGTTTATATATAAATATACAGTGGGGCAAAAAAGTATTTAGTCAGCCACCAATAGTGCAAGTTCTCCCACTCAAAAAGATGAGGGCGGTAATTTTCATCATAGATATACCTCAACTATGAGAGACAAAATGAGAAAGAAAAATCCAGAAAATCACATTGATTTTTTTAAGAATTTATTTGCAAATTATGGTGGAAAATAAGTATTTGGTCAATAACAAAAGTTAATCTCAATACTTTGTTATATACCCTTTGTTGGCAATGACAGAGATCAAACGTTTTCTGTAAGTCTTCACAATGTTTTCACACACTGTTGCTGGTATTTTGGCCCATTCCACCATGCAGATCTCCTCTAGAGCAGTGATGTTCTGGGGCTGTCGCTGGGCAACACGGACTTTCAACTCACTCCAAAGATTTTCTATGGGGTTGAGATCTGGAGACTGGCTAGGCCACTCCAGGACCTTGAAATGCTTCTTACGAAGCCACTCCTTCGTTACCCGGGCGGTGTGTTTGGGATCATTGTCATGCTGAAAGACCCAGCCACGTTTCATCTTCAATGCCCTTGCTGATGGAAGGAGGTTTTCACTCAAAATTTGACGATACATGGCCCCATTCATTCTTTCCTTCACACGGATCACCACCCCCATGCTTCACTGTAGGTATGGTGTTCTTTGGATGCAACTCAGCATTCTCTCTCCTCCAAACATGACGAGTAGAGTTTTTACCAAAAAGTTCTATTTTGGTTTCACCTGACCATATGATATTCTCCCAGTCATCGTCTGGATCATCCAAATGCTCTCTAGCAAACTTGAGACGGGCTTTGACATGTACTGGCTTAAGCAGGGGGACATGTCTGGCACTGCAGGATTTGAGTCCCTGGCAGCGTAGTGTGTTACTGATGGTAGCCTTTGTTACTTTGGTCCCAGCTCTCTCCAGGTCATTCACTAGGTCCCCCTGTGTGGTTCTGGGATTTTTACTCACCGTTCTTGTGATAATTTTGACCCCACGGGGTGAGATCTTGCGTGGAGCCCCAGATCGAGGAAGATTATCAGTGGTCTTGTATGTTTTCCATTTTCTAATAATTGATCCCACAGTTGATTTCTTCACACCAAGCTGTTTACCTATTGCAGATTCAGACTTCCCAGCCTGGTGCAGGTCTATCATTTTGTTTCGGGTGTCCTTTGACAGCTCTCTAGTTTTGGCCATGGTGGAGTTTAGAGTGTGACTGTTTGAGGTTGTGGACAGGTGTCTTTTATACTGATAATGGGTTCAAACAGGTGCCATTAATGAAGATAACGAGTGGAGGACAGAGGAGCCTCTTACAGAAGAAGTTACAGGTCTGTGAGAGCAAGAAATCTTGCTTGTTTGTAACTGACCAAATACTTATTTTCCACCATATTTTGCAAATAAATTCTTTAAAAATCAGACAATATGATTTTCTGGATTTTTTTTTTCTAATTTTGTCTCTCATAGTTGAGGTATATCTATGATGAAAATTACCGGCCTCTCTCATCTTTTTGAGTGGGAGAACTTGCACTATTGGTGGCTGACTAAATACTTTTTTGCCCCACTGTATATATATATTTTTAAACATCCTACAGATTTTGTTCTGTTCACCATCTTTTAGCTAAACCTGGATTTGAGCAACAATCCATGCTTGTTTCTTTAAGATATCAACATATCCCTACTTTTGCTAGAGATCAGCTTACCCGTGGGTTGGGGGTTAGTGGGCTATTTCCCCTTGAAGATGCTCATGCCTCTGTTTATTCCCAGTTCTTTTGCCTGGAGTGATCACTCTCCATCCTAAAAAGGACATCTCTCAAACAACACTTAAAATGTATCATGATTTAATCCAAGTTTAGCAGATGGTGCTGGGCTCATGTCTTGTGTCAAAAGAACGAAGATAAAGCCTAATGATGATTCCTGTTGGTCCTTATACTGCAGTTATATTAGTAAACTCTGTCATGCCAAGTTGGTGTCACTCTGACAGGGTGTGTCATTATGTCCAACCCCTATATCGTATCTGGCCCGATCGCTCTTCACTGCCATAGCTACAGGCATATGTTCCCTTTTATTAAACCTGGCCCTTGAAAAGAGTAACCGTTTTATTATCTACATAGGCTATTATATCTATATAGGCCGACTCATATCTTCCCATTCTTTTCTGCTAAGCTTGTGACTTGGTAATGATGATCATTTATATTCTGACAAAAGGGGTCTCTGCTTCAACAAATCCAATTTCTGAGGGAGATATAATAAACATTACGATTTATGTATTATACTATGGGTAGGAAAAATAATTAATGGAGAAATATATATTTCTATATTTAACAACCTAGGTGTTTCAGAATTAAACAAGCCTTTAGGGTTGATAAAGATTATTCCTAACATTAACCTATTTACCTCTGAGCAGGAGACAAACTTCCAGGCAATAAACACAAGAAGCAGCAGCAATTCAATCAATAGTGTTAAATCTTAATGGGGTCGTACCAGTCCATTTAGTTTCTATACATAAAAAGCTGCTAATAAAGTTCTATGGCTAGTTTAACTTCTTCAAAACTCAATATTTAAAGGGCCAATTGAATGAAACTACTTTATACTATAGAATACAATTACGGTTTCACAGTTTTCAACACATCCATTGTACAAATTCCTTTTTATAAAAGCTGCAAAAAAAATGCATCCACTCATCACTATTTTATTGCAGCAAGGAGTAAGAAAATGCATGCTATTGTAAGATTTTTTTTTTTCAAATTTTTTTTTGTGTGTCCTGTTTTGCCAATATTGCTGTTGGAATAGATGTTGCTAAATATCTACAAACTTGTTATATGAAAACATATTTGATGTAAATCAGAACAAACTGATATAAAATAGATTGTAATACTGCAAGTAAAAACTGCAATATCATGAGCTGAAAGGGCATTTAAAAGTTGTAAATCCATTGAACCCCTGAAATGTGCACTTGCCTCTATATACTTTATAAAGAACCTCAGATTTCTGGTAATCCATTTTGTTTCATTTATTTTGTTGTGAATTTAGCTTCATTAGAGCCGATGTTTTAGAGTTCATGCAGGTACTTTTTTTATGGATTATATCGTGTTATGGTCTGACGAACCATTTCGCTAGATATGTCTGCATTGCTGTACTATTTATATATATTTGGATATCTGCACCAGGAGATGAGGGTGACAATAAAAAAGATAAGCTCAAAAAAGAAGTGGGTAAAAAAAACTGCGCTATGATTTATGTCTGACTGATCCCAGAGCTTGCAGGGCTACTATGTGGTAGTTAGTGGTCAAAAGCATTAAGTAAATTTTTAATTTCTTTTGAAAATGTTGCAAATTCTGGAAAAGGTCTAGAGAACACTCATAAATCCAAGGCTCTAAGGTCTAGTAAGAAATTTCCTATTTGACCTTATCAAAATAAGTGATGATCTCAAAGCCATGGCATCTGCTGCTGTTTGTCCTCTATCAAGTACAAATTCAGAGCAGCCATCTTCGTTTTATAGAGCTTTAAGCTTCATTCTGTTGAAAATCTTTATTGAGATGCTCATTTTATTTCCCAGCAGGGCTTAGTACTGGCCCACTGTGCCAACAAAACCAATATCTCCTTTAATCACCATTAAGGCTATATTTTATGGTTTTCTGTGTAGGTCTGAAGCATCAAACGACAGAGTGAATTCTTCTGGTTAAAACCAGCTTCTGAAAATGTTCTCCATATAAAAGAGGAAAGAAAAAGGCCCATTTTCGGTTGAGTCAGCCCTCTGATAGATTATTAGTTCTCTGTGGAGTTGTGACAGGCTTTATGAGATGTAATTTTAGCTGACTGAATCAGTTTTTGTCAGTAATTGAACAAAGCCATGAAAGG